AGATATAATTGCAGATAGATAGAGAGAGAGATAGAAATAATCGAGACAAGCGAGCAGTAGGCACCGTAAGTAAAATGTGTGAATCGCTGTGAATTATAGCGTGTGTTTATAAAAGTAGTTAAGTGGAAATTAAGTGTATTACAAAGTTTGTAACGAGAAAGAATAAAGTAGTTTTAATTAAGAAAGGATCTGTATCACTGAAGTTTCTCGGAGAGAAGTTTTACGGGAAATTATCAAACAAGTAGAAACATAACAATACTATACAAGATAAATATATCGAGTTTTATATATAATTTGATGAAAGATATTATATTTCCCATTTTGTTTTTTCAGGACACGAGCAGCATCCACTCACAAAGCTTTCCTGACCAACAAAATTGTAAACCACCCGATGTGGAGGAACCACAATCCCAACTTTTTCCAGCTTTTGTATCTTGTTTAACAAGTTGGGTGTCGTCATTTTATGCTAAGCACAGTTTATGGATCAACATTTGTGGCTTCACTGTACTGTTCCTCCTCTACAACGTCTTCTTGGGATTTGCCATCTCCACAACATGGAAGCACACTCACAGCTGGTGTGACGGGGTCAGGTTTCTGATCCTCCTTACCATTATAGTCTACATTACACTTTTGTATTACCACGTGTTTAAACGGTGGCTTTTGAAACCCCTCAGAAGATTTTTTTCCCCAGCTACTGACCTTTTCGCAAGAATTTTTAAATATCGATATACGTCGAGGTAAGTCGAGATATGTTTTCATTTTCAAGTTATGATTATACGCGATGAATATGAAAACTGGGCCTAAAAAAAAACCCAGTAGTTTCAGGTTTTTAATTTACGTTTTTTTTTTTGTAGGACATAATTTAAAAAATTTAGTTTGCTGAGGAGGCATGTTTCGATTGTTATGGTAAAGGTATTAAAAGTATTTTATCATTAATAAGTTATATTATTTTTATATTTTATCGATACTTACCATCACTTATCAAGTTATGTAAACTGTTAGTTGAGTATGGTCGTGACTTAGTGGCTATCGTGCCCGAACTGTGAATCCGAGGGTTCATGGTTCGCGACCTGTTGCCGCAAAAACACGCTCTGTAAGAATGATGGTGAAATCCCACAATTTGATTGGATAAGAGTAGTCCATGAGGGTGCTATTGACTATAGCTGCTTTCCCACTGTAGTCGGTCAATTCAAAATTCGGGACCACTACGCGTAAATAGTTTTATAGTTTTGCGTGAAATTCTGACACAAACAAACTAGTTAATTCTCCATGTTGGACACACTTCATTACGGACTCTTTTTCTCGGAATGATTAATTAACAAATTCTTTTATTGTTGTTTTCAGTGTAATATGGGTATCCATCCTCGCTGCTGTGATCGTCTTTCTTATCATCGACACCAAAGATAACAGATCTCGTTTAGTGTCTGCAGGTGGCTTGCTGGTTTTGTTATTTTTCGGCTACTTGTTCTCGGCACATCGAACAAAGGTACGTTTTAACCCTCCCTATATTTTATGTTTGCCTTTATAAGTTTATATTTCAATTCTTTCACTAATTGTATTAAAATTACTGCGATACAACTTAGAAAAGCTTGATAATGTTATCTGATCTTGGTTCTACACATGTTAGTTTGAACTGGTTGACAACACTACTCGTATTGGTTCTACAGAGACATAGTTTTTGATATGCCCATCATGTCTTTAATTTTAATTGTTGGATTAAGCCCGGCGTGGCCAGGTGGTTAAGGCGCTCGACTCGCAATCTGAGGGTCGCGGGTTCGAATCCCCCGTACCACCAAATATGCTCACCCATTTAGCCGTGAGGGCGTTATAATGTGACGGCCAATCCCACTATTCGTTGGTAAAAGAGTAGCCCAAGAGTTGGCAGTGGGTGGTGATGACTAGCTGCCTTCCCTCTAGTCTTACACTGCTAAATTAGGGACGGCTAGCGCAGATAGCCCTCGTGTAGCTTTGCGCGAAATTCAAAACAAACAAACTAACAATTTTTGGATTTTTAAAATTATTATCGTGCTTCCTAAGAACACTTCACATGGAAGATAATTTAGAAACGTACACTAAAGGTAAAGAGATTTTATTTTTAATTACTGTTTCTTTCTTTAGGTCGTGTGGCGCCATGTTTTCTGGGGTGTGTTTCTACAGTTTCTCTTCGGTCTTGCCATTTTGAGATGGCACGTGGGAAAAGAAGTGTTTAACTGCATTAGCGAAAAAGTCAAGAGATTTCTCGAATTTACAGATTACGGGTCAGAATTTGTTTTTGGTTACCTGGTCTCTGGTGACCTTAAGGATGTCACAAGCAAGCAAATATCAGTGTTCGCGTTCAGTGTAAGTTTAATATTATAGCTACTTCACGACAATGATTTTTAACCCTTTTCTGCATTTTAAGCTCATTTTTTCTTTGTAACTGCACAAATGACAGAGACCCACCGATAAAACTTAATAGCTCCTGTGGTAAGAATTTCGTTAAATGTTTAGATATATTATGTTACCCACCATTTTTGGAAGTGTAAATATACTCCGAGACAGGGGTTTGAACCTAGGACCTTTAGCTGACAGGGTCATTCTCTATCATTGAGCTATCCAAAAGTACAAGTTGGTACCTTTTCCCCTCACCAATAAGGTCTTTTTTTTCTTACCATGAATATAAACTACCCACTACGTTGTGTTTAGTCAGACAAATAGTGGTTTGATTGACCACCACTCAATCAAGTCATAGAAGCACAAACACATACACCCACACATTGTTATGATTAATACTTTTGAATAATAGTGATAAATAAATATTAGTAAATGAGCTTAGTCAGGTTTAGGCAGTAAAACATCTAGTTACTGTATTGTGCTGCTCAACACATGTTACCGAGCAAGTAGAAAATCGGGTAAAACTTCAATGTTTTGCTACTAGATGCCAGCACTGACAAAGAAGCTAAAATAACGGGCAGAACAGACATGGAATAATTTATATTCAGCTATATGTAACGGTAAATTTGACCTGCAACATAAAGTAAAGTACATTATCTTTATAAATTAATGTTTAAATATTTTATATCTGATAGCACTGGTTTAATTTAAAACTTTGTTCCGCAGAACAGACACAACAAGGCCTATTCTAACACGTGGCTACTAAAGCCTTTTATGCGAAAGGTTTATGCACATATGTTTAAACTCGCAAGTTAGTTCTTGTTTTTATTTATTTCTTATTTTATATCAAAATTCTAAAGAGAAGTTAAATTCACTTTTCTGTTCTTAACATTCTACTGTTAAATCTGTAATGACGGCAAGACGATACCTGGTTCTGATCTCTTATCCCGGACCCTTGTTTATTTCCAGGTTTTAAGTGTGATTTTGTTCTTCAGTTTATGCATCTCCATCCTTTATTACTACGGGATCATGCAGTGGATGGTGATCAAGATAGGCTGTTTTCTACAGGTGACTGTGGGCACCACAGCTTGCGAGTCGATGAACGCAGCTGGAAACATATTTCTAGGAATGGTAGGCATTCATATTTTGTAGTCAGGACAACCTAAGTTATTCGTGTTTAGTAGTCATGACAACCAAAGTTCTTCGTGTTTTGTAGTCAGGACAACCTAAGTTATTCGTGTTTAGTAGTCATGACAACCAAAGTTCTTCATCTGTTAGTAGTCATGACAGTCAAAGTCCTTCGTGTTTTGTAGTCATGACAACCTAAGTAATACAATCAACTGGAACAAATTAAAATGACTGTAACTTTTACTTAATGTACGCAAACTCTTTCTCTCTTTCTCAAAAAAGTAACCCTGATCTAAAAACACGTGTTTGTCTATTTTCTTGTTCTTAGACGGAAGCTCCTTTAATGATAAAGCCATTTCTGCCAATAATGACAAAGTCCGAACTCCACGCCGTACTAACCGGAGGCTTTGCGACCATCGCAGGAAGTGTCCTTGCTGCATATGTCAAGTTTAATGTAAGACAGCTGAACTGTTGTTAAAGACCTGGTTCAGTGTTTTAATTTTCAATAGACACAGCTGACATTCCTTTGTTAGGTTTTTATTGTAGCTTTTATTTAGAATTTTTTTATAGATTATTTTGCATAAATACAGCTAACACAGAATGAAAGAATCAAATAATACGTCTTTTGTATGAAATCCAGGAAAGTATATCAACCTCATTCTTAATTTTGCTTGTTGTGCCCTTTCAATCTAGAAAACCATGTCATTACTTGCTGTAATTCAAGCTTCTAGTGTTTCTTTATTTTGTTAGGTTGCTATTTCGTAAAGAATGCGTAATAATTTAATCTGGAAAACTTAGAATTTTAGCTAATTAAGTAATCTGCAGCTTTGCAGTTCTCTTGATTGATTAATAAATATGGAATTTAGAAGAATCTTGGAGTTATGCCAATTGGCTTACGATGCTTAAAATTCTTTAATGGAGTAATATGGTTGGAAGATATCAGCAAATAAGTAAAGGAAAGCTTAGAGCAAGAATTTAATGATATTAAAATATCATTGTTGTAACTTATTGATTTCAAATAATAAAACTTTTAAACTTCGCTGTAGGTTAACCCTAGCCACCTATTGTCGGCTTCTGTAATGTCAGCCCCAGCAGCTCTTGCCTTCTCCAAGCTGTTCTATCCAGAAACAGAGGAAAGCCGGACACATGCCAAAGACATTAAAATCGACAAAGGGTGAGTAAAAATGAAGCGAGAAATAATCTTGCGTTTAAGTTACTCTTTCTTTTTATCTTGGCGCGCCATCTATCAGATATAAAATTCTCTATCTCTCTTTTTTAACCCTTTTATAGGAAATTGCTTTATATGATGTATTAGAAGTAATTGTTTTGTACTTAATATTAGATTTAGTCATTTCGAGTTTTCAGAATTTAATTGCTTCTTGATTTACTTATATTTTGTTGTTTTATTAAAAGTAAGTTTATAATTGTAGATTATCTAATGACAATTTTTAATTGTTGTTTTCTTAACGGTAGTTTTATAATGGTAGATTATCCAATGACATTTTCTAATTGTTGTTTTCTTAACGGTAGTTTTATAATGGTAGATTATCCAATGACATTTTCTAATTGTTGTTTTCTTAACGGTAGTTTTATAATGGTAGATTATCTAATGACATTTTCTAATTGTTGTTTTCTTAACGGTAGTTTTATAATGGTAGATTATCAATGACATTTTCTAAGGACCGAACGCAACGCTATAGAAGCTGCTACGAACGGAGCCAGTACAGCTATCGCCTTAGTGGCTAACATAGCAGCTAATTTGATTGCCTTTTTAGCTTTCATTCGATTTCTTGACGCAATCTGCACGTGGATAGGACTTCTTGTTGGATGGGACTTTATATCATTTGAGGTAGGAAGTATTTCTGTTTATTAACAGTAAGTTTTACTTTACAAGAAGAAGGAACAGAAGAAGCTTTTTTCTTTTCTACTTCTAGTTTTCTTTGTATTATAGTTTTGGGAATTCTCTTTGCCTTTTTTTTGTCTTCTTGACAATGGACATTCCTTCGTGGTCACATCCACCTGGACTGTGTTTTTAAAAACTTGAAATACATTTTCACTTTGCAGTTGCAAATAATAATAGAAGTAGGGTCATCTGTTGAAGTTTCCATAATGTTCTACGCTCGTTTTTTGCACGCTTTTAAACAGGTAATAACACAGAAAAAGTAGTCGACTTATGGTCACAAAATGGAAAATATCGAGCAAAGTTACTGACATTTCTTTTTCACAGAATGAAAGCCTTACTCAACAAATATCGTTCAAACATAGTCCAAATGTATCATCAGTCTAGGCCTAGTTAAGTCGCGAATTGAGGGTTAAGTTAATTTTTGTTTCAAAAAAAGTGTTATAAAAATGTAGTTAAAGAAACGTGAAACTTTAACTGAAATAAGTGTATAATACAATTTGAAACGTCGAAAGCCGACGAAGTAATGAAACCAACAGGCCTAATATTATTGATAAAAATCACGCTAGAGTGCATGAAAATGTGTATTCTATAATATAAAAATATTCGTCTGTTTATCGACATAGGAACTCATATAAATTTTATTACTTACAATAAAAAAAAAAATCCCAATTTATAGTAATCGTTAGATACACCAGAAAATATTAACCGGACAGAGAAATATCAGATTCCCTGAGCTAAACCTTACTGTTATCCATTTTTGTAATTTTCCTTTCCCCTAGCGGGTACTTTTAGTACTCTGTTTCACCGATTATTTTTACCCGATATTTGATTTTTATTTTATTTCCATTCCACAGTGGCTGTTATCTAAAGCATTCGTTCCCTTGGCTTTCCTAATGGGTGTGGAGTGGAACGAATGTGAACAGGTAGCTCGTCTTATTGGTTTGAAGACCGTGGTGAACGAATTCATCGCTTATAAGCAGTTAGGAGAAATGAAAACGTTATCGGTAAGTTTGCCATTCTAACCTTTAAACTTGCTCTTTTCATATAAATTTACTTGAAATTCTCCAAAAAAGTTTTGGTTTTAAGTTCAAAGCTACACAATAGGCTATTTACACTATGTCTACTACAGGAATTTAACTTGAATTTTGGCGTTAGAAGCCTTCAAGTTAACATGTTACAAATAGGTATGAAGTTGTATATCATGTACAATAAATACAATTAAACATTAAAATAACTGTCCGGATAATCATATGATTTCATTATGTATTTTATGATGCTTTGACAGCTGAGTAACGAACTGTTGAATTGGTTTAATTTTGTTCTTACACACCAGAAAGAAATTCCTTATTTTATATATAAGTCGGTTGTAAAAAATAAAACACAAAATTGTATACCAGCTCGATTACACTGTTATGTTTTTTCGTTACAATACATGTACTGTAATATTTGAATATTTTTTGATTATTATTATTATAGCCAAGATCTCAGGCTATTGCAGTATATGCTTTGTGTGGATTCTCTAATATCGGATCCATCGGTATTCAACTTGGAGCGCTCGGAGCCATGGCTCCAGAGAGGAAATCAGATTTGGCAAGCTTAGCAGTTCGAGCAGTGATAGCCGGTTCAACAGCCTGCTTCATGACAGCTTGTGTTGCCGGTAGGTGGCAGTTTTTATAACAGCTTGTCACGGATGATTACCGTATACATAAGATGAAAACAGTAAAAACTTAACATATTGTTAAAAAAAAAATTAGACGAAGTGTAAAAATAAATGATGAAAAAAAATTGCAAGAGAAAACATGTATTACATACACTAGAGTCAGTAGTTGTTTTTTGTTTTGTTTTTGAATTTCACGCAAAGCTACAGGAGGGGGGGGGGTATCTGCGATAACAGTCTCTAATTTAGTAGTGATAGACTAGAAGGAAGGCAGCTAGTCATCGCCACCACCGCCAACGTTTGGGCTACTCTTTTACGAACGAATGATGGAATTGATCATTACATTATAACGCCCCCACGGTTGAAAGGGCGAGCATGTTCAGTGACGGGGAATCGGACCCTCGACCCTTAGATCGCGAGTTGAGTGTCCTAACCACCAGGTCATGCTAGGCCTAAACTGCTATGGTATTAACATTAAGTATGAAGTTATATACGATACAGAAATGCTTTTTAATTTCTCTCTCTCTGTTCTTTTTTGACTGTTGAGAGTGATGACGTGTAAATTATAATTTTAATGTTTGGTTGTAATAATAATTCCATTCCACCATCTCTCAATATTCAGTATTATTTTTTTTTACTTCTTATTTGGCAAAGATCGTATATTAATCAAAAGCGTTCTTGATGAATAATAATTGTTGAGGTTAAATCCTTACCGTGCCTGTCTGTGCAAGGCACGTGGAGCCGGTGCTTTCGAACTCCAGTTTCCACTGGCACAAGCGAATGTGAAAGGTGACCCCTTCCGCCAGTCCAATACAGATTAACCTCCAGCCTTGATTTATGATGTGTCTGAATTTGTGATTACTTTAAAATCTTATCTTTTCAAAACTCAACCTAGCGCGAGAAGTGGCCCTAAACGGTGAAATAACAACAAAAACCGCCAGTTAACTCTTTATTTTTGAGAACTTTGGGAAGGATTAAAACAACACTGAAACTGTTTTAGCGCCCTCTACTCTGTAAAATAAGATTTAAAGTTATATCAAAATAATACTCAGTAAAGAATAAAATACCGAATAATAGATTAATTAATTACAGCAAACAATAATGAGACATATAGTATATAATCATTGTTGTTTCTTTTTTTTCCTGTTGCAGGAACATTGTTAGAGGAAGTGTCTTATTCGATTTGAGGAACGGAAGATGAAAACCTGATTCAAACTGACAATGCACAGACGATAAATTTTCATTCTAAATTCCAGCCATTGTTTCGTAAAGTCGGTCTGAACTTAACAGAAAATAGTAACTGTTCTGGATATCTTGATTCATTTAGATATATCTTGGTATATATCTTTTCATAATATTTATTTGTTTACATTAAGATAACTAGACTTTAAAAGCGCCCATAATACGTGTTTTTTATTGTTCTTTTTTAATGTGTGGACGAAACATAATACATGTCTACGCATTTGTACATAGTTTGTGAAATTTATAAAGATTTATTAGCGTATTTATTAATGATTTTATAAATAAATGTTTTAGAATATTTTAACAGGTGTACTGTTTGTCATTTCCGTCTCGTTTGGCAGGAAGTGGGATTTAATCTTTTAAGTAAACAAACTACAAAAGCAGTTCGTTTGACTAATTATGGAAGAGCTTAATGAACTAATAATTAGTTCTAATCAAGTATCCGTTTTCGTAATCAGTTTCTAATTCGAAACGACTCGAGAAAATCAAACGGTAGACAGAACTTACTCATTTATTACAAAGTTTACAGATTTTTCTTCGTTTACAGAACTAAATGTATGGTTTAAGTGAAATTTAATGCTTAAATAAATACATTTAACAACTTAAAAACGAGCTTATGTGTGTGAATGGAAAAAGACAACAATGCTCTCAATACCGAACAGCAAAGAAAGAAGTACAATATAACCTGGTAGCAGCAACAGTAATTAATATATCAACACTGAGGAAAGTAGGCTAATGTTTGTCGATAGAAGATGTATCTTTGTTTTGATAAAAACACGCTACTTTAAGATGAGACCTTTATTAGTGATTTTTGTGGGGTTGGGAGGGGAATGCCTTTGAAGATTTAATTGCAATTCTACCGTTAAGTCTATGAACATTAAAGGTCTGTCAAGTTTACCAGTAATATTAGTTACGGTTACTTTCACATGAGTTCTGACGTTTGAACTTCAGCCTTGAGCAGTTTGCTTCGGTCTTTTGTGAAATGCTTCATAGGACGCGTGGTTCTCAAACTTTCGGGTTCGTCCAGAGTGGAGGTCGACAGTCGCGCCACCATGGGGTATGTAGAAAAATTATGAATGCTGTGACGTAATTTGTACCGCTGATAAGATGTTTTTAGGAGAGAGATCACCTGTTTTCAAATAAAGAAAACAACAACAATAATAAGAGAGACTGTTGAAAAACACTCAACTCCATACATAGATCAGCTTTACTTTACGAACTTAACGAATTAAAAAAAAAAAAACATAGCTCGAACACTTTCGAATAGTTGACTATTCTTCTTCTGGCCCGGCATGGCCAGATACTTAGGGCACTCGACTCGCAATCCGAGGGTCGCGGGTTAGAATCCCCGTCCCACCAAACATGCCCGCCCTTTCAGCCGTGGGGGCGTTATAAAGTTACGGTCAATCCCACTATTCGTTGATAAAAGAGTAGTCCAAGAGTTGGCTGTTGGTGGTAGTGATGACTAGCTGCCTTCCCTCTAGTCTTACACTGCTAAATTAGGGACCGCTAGCGCAGATAGCCCTCGTGTAGCTTTGCGCGAAATACATAACAAACAAACAAATCGCACTTGGAAACCAATAAAAAAAAACACATCAACTCCGGAGACAATACATGCAACACAGAGACCAAACAACTAAGACACAAATCAATACTATAAGAAACAAAATAAGAACGGAAGTCAAACTTCTAAAACAAGAAAAATTGGACGATTTTTGTTCACAACTAAACGATAAAACAGAACCTAAAACAATTCTGGACTCACCTAAAAAGATTCACAGAAGGAGAACAATGCAACCCGTAAATATCTGCCAACAATACAGTGACACAAACATACAAAAGGATAAGGCAGAAGCTTTCAAGCAACAATTATAAAACACTTTTCGAACACATCACGAACCGGACATGATTACTCATTTTTATAACGGAGTAAATCAATTTGTAACAAATAACCAAGAAATGCACAAACCACTTTTCACAATAAATAAAAATAACATTGAAACAACAAATGATGAAATAATCAACAACAACGCAACAGAAAATATGACAAAGGAAATAACGTAATAGAAGTTCAATAAGCAATAAAAGCCACAAAGAACAAAGCTCCAGGAGAAGATGGCGTACAAGCCATCCTTCTTAAAAAAAAGGCACTAGGAAATTGCTTGAACATCTTACGGCGCTCTTTTTTCCTATCACTTAAATCAGGATACGTCCCAGTTTCTTAGAAGCGAGCAAATGTTTTAATATTCCACAAAGAGGGAAAGCTAGTCCATAAACCATGTAGTTACCGCCCAATCAGTCTGACCAGCACCATAGGAAAAATACTATAACGTATGACCAGTAACAGACTCTGGAGACAACATCCAAATTACCCGAAGTACAAAATGGTTAAGGAAAGTTCAGACAGACAAGTGACCATCTAATTAGACTTGCAGAATCTATAATGGACAATTTTAACAAATCAGAATCCACTGTTGCGTGTTCTCTCGATATCAACGCTGTATGGCATAATGACATGAGGTTTCGAATGTCAGAAATGGAACTACAGCGAGGTATTATTTGCTGGCTGTCCAACTTTTTGGATAACAGGAATTATAGAATATATGTTGGGGGAATCTTCTCCGAGGCAGGTGTCCCTCAGGGAGGAGTAGTTAGCCCTATTCTATTCATCATGTACGTTAAGAACGTGCCTCCAAACGATCATAGATATTCGCCGACGATGTAGCAGTATGGGAGAGTGCTCCCACCCCTTCTATTGTAGCCACAACCCACTCTCCCACCCCATCTATTGTAACCACAACCCACTCTCCCACCCCATCTATTGCAGCCACAACCCACTCTCCCACCCCATCTATTGTAGCCACAACCCACTCTCCCACCCCATCTATTGTAGCCACAACCTACTCTCCCACCCCATCTGTTGTAGCCACAACCATTCAACCTCAATTAAACAGAGTAGTTGAGTATTACCAATAACATCGCATTAAATTAATATCCCAAAGAATTAATTAGTAGTTTTTGCAAAATTAACAAAACACAAAAAATATCCGCCTGAACTCTATATGAATGGGGGCCTTCTTCAGACTAAAACATCTGCTAAATTACTAGGTCTAACATACGACTCCATATTAACATGGATTGAACACCTTAACAATATAAATCCAAAGTTTGGCGGCGCGGAAAATTGACAAAAGAACGATCTGCGTAAATGATGAAAATAGTCCTAAGTACCTCTCCCCCATCAACATTTATATACGAAATAAAAATAAATCAAGTCCACCTAATGCTAGACACACACATATATATCATCAATAATTTCAATTTACTGTGACAGCATTAAGAAGGGTTAAATATGTTAATGCTCTAGCTGAAATTTAGAATTAGTGAAATATGTGAAAAATATATCCCGAACTGTTCGTGAGAACGTGAACTTTATCACAAACGGATGAAGCAAACGTGTATTTAACACATTAATATAATTACATACGTGGACATGATCAGAGTGAAAGCGTGAACTAGCTAAGCTCTGACCCTCTTGTAGTAAGTACATCAATAGTAAACAGAAATCAATCATTAAGTGCTGGAGGGAGGAAGAGGTCAAATGGAACCTGATCCTCCCAGATCTAAAACCCGATGCCGACCGACCAGCAAACACTCATTGTGTTTGATCCTGCATGCTAACTCTTTTTTTTTTATCAAAATATTACGAACGCAGTTACTCACATGCTGGTAAGTATTTTGTTGATGATTATTTGTTCAGAATATATTAATTTGATTTTAATTTCGCATAAAACTACTCGAAGACTAGCTGCGTCAACCGTCTCTAATTTCAAGGAATTGACTAGTCAATTAGGCAGCTACTCAACGCCACCCTCCGCCAAGTCTTGGGCGACTCTTTTTTTACCGCCACACAGCTGAAAGGGAGAGCATACTCGGGAATCATTTCAACGCGTGTTACGTCGTATGTAACAAATATATTGTCAATGATTGTTATTCATACAGGGTGGGCCAAAAGTAGGGTTACAGTTACTCTATTATT